CAGGCAAGACAGAATAGGTATGGGGATTAAAAGAGCAGCAGTGGAGATGCAGAGGCTGGCACAAGAGAGGGGCCTGTGGAGGATGGACAAGATTTGGTGCTACATTGGATGCGGGCAGTAAGGTAGAGAGGAGGCAAGATTTTTAAATCTAAGATCAAGAATCCATGCAGGAGTGAAGATCTTTCAGTCTGCGACATAAAACAGCAAGTTAGAGCCATCTAGTAAATAGTGCTAAATATGTTCCTGGAACTCAGGTGAGAATTCTGGATAGTAAACTACGATAACATAGGTGGGAACTGAAGCCACAGTGTGAATTGCATCATCTAGAAAGGAGAGTGAAATACAAGAAGATAGAAGAGATGGGATATGGATCTAAGAATAGAGAATTTGTGGATAAAAGGAAGGATGAGAAGCCAGTCTAAGATAATGAAAAGGAATAGTCTGAGCAGCAGCAGAAATACTAGAGGAGAGCATGGCCGTGGAGACCAGGAAAAGACAGTTTTGAGAAGTTGCAGTGTCTCTATTCAACACTTAAAGAATGCATTTCCTTCTTCAGATCATATAAGGCTTAAAGCAAATCTAAAAAACCATAAAAGAATAGGTGTTACATAGAATATGTTCTCTGACAGCAATGAAATTAAGTGAGAAGTTATTAACAGAAAGGTAGATTTCAAAACTGTATATTTGGATGTTAAAAAACATAAATAACTCAAATGTCAAAGAAGAAATGGAATTAAAACTTAATGAATATTTAGAATAAATTATTATCAAAACACTTCATCAAATCTCGAGGTACAATGAAAATGTTTCTCCAAGGAAAAATTATAGGTTTGAATGCATATTTATGAAATGAATAGAAGCTGGGAGTTAATGAACTGTTTATCTCAATAAATTTGGAAAAGAATAACAGAATAAAGTTTAAAAAGTAGAAGGAAGGAAATAATAAAAATATAAGCAAAAATAAGCAAAGTTGAAGAAGACACCATAGAGTTTGTAAACCTAAAAGTTGTTCTTAAAAAAAAAATGCAATGAAATGAGATAGACCTTTGGTTATATTAATTATAGAAAAAAGAAAGAAGAAAAATATGACTAAAAATAGGGACATTATGCAGATATAGCCTAGGTTTAAAAGATAATATGTGAATACTATGAATAATTTTATTACTAATAAGGTCTAGGAATTGCTACTTTTTTCCCCTGTGATCTTGTTTAGGAAATGACCTAACTCTCTACTTGTAGTCCCTATGCAAGATTTACCAGCAGATTTCCAGGTATTGCCACAGCTATCCCTCTTCCCAAGGTTTGCTGGGATTGTCACTTGAAATAAAGCAGTTTGATGGTCGGCATCACTTCTGGGACCCAAATTGCCGTATCAATAGTCAAGGATCTTTCTTGAGATATTCTTCTAGCTTCACTCCAGAGTTAGGCAAGCATCTTGGACATAATCAACCCAGAGTGCACGAAGTGTTAGCCATCATTAAATGCCATGCTGGAGTCTGATCAATTCTGCCCACCTTTGCTGTTGCTTTTTGATGCCTCTTGGAGTCTTATTTGAGGTATGGTGCTGCACAAGCTCATGGACACCTGACCAATGTCCTGCAGCGAGCACAAAATTCAGGGAGAGGTTCTGGGAGGGCAGATGATTTTGTTTCTTTGGGGCTAAGCTAACCTGTGCTCTATGTTTAGGATTCTATGGTTGAACTCGTAGTGATCAGATTTATTTGGTTTTTGATTACAGTCACTTCCTAAGGTGAACAATTGCCTTTAGAGGTACTACCCCAAATTGGGTTTGGCATTTACTATGTGGAGGTGGTGGAACTTTTCTCACAACCCTTAAAATGCAAAATATTGGTAGTGTATCTCTCCCTGAACCATCAGGGCCATCCTCAGAGGTACCTCCTGTGTAACTTCAGAGATACTTCCTAGGTAATTCTGAGGTGATTTTCTGTCCTTGCCTGTATTATCGAGAAGCTGGCGTTTTTCCTCACGAAATAAGAGAGAAAAGAAAAAGAACCTACACAAATTTAATAATTGCTAGCACATTTTTCTTGTAGGGTACCACACAAAACACAACCATGAGTTTTTCTTTTTATTCTGTGGATTTCCAGAATATTAGCATAAATAAAGTTGTTGTTGCTTGTTCTGCAACAAGAGAATAATCTGAGATCAAGAGAGATTTTAGGAGTTTTCTTATAACTTCCCATGAATCATTTCCATTTAACAATGTCATTATGTTTCCTTTATTATTGAATTCTAGAGGTTTATTATATATCTAAGGACCACTGCATCATCCATATATACACATGATTAGTTCACTCAGCAAATATTTGTTGAGCATCTATGATATGGAAGACAATTGGCCAAGGACCAGGTAAATGTCAAGCAAATACATGCATGACCAAGTCCTCATGGAGTTGACAGTCTACTTTCTTTTTAGAGGAGTCTGAATTCAGGCCTAAAATCATTACAGGTATTTCTATAAGGAAGGGCATATATTTCTATAGGTAAAGAGGTGGGATGATATGACATGTATAAACTTAGAATATTAGAGACAATGTTGAGAAACTGAAACACAGCGATGAAGAACAGTGTTTCAGTGCTTAAAAAAAGAAACCTGTACAGGGAAAAGCTGCTTATCTGGATGATGACCACATGCAGTATGGTGGCTATAGTGCATTATCAATCCTCCAGGAGCATCATTTTCTCTAACCAATCAGAAGTCATTTCCACCCTCTTACTGAAGTGCTTCTTATTTTTCTCTTTCGCTTGCATTCTCACACTTGCATATCAAATGATGTAAGTACCCAAACCACAAAGCCTCCAAAGTGCACACTTTGGAGACTTTGTAAGAGAGTCAGGTACAAAATTTTCAGCATATCCTGTAGAGGGGGAGATTAACCTGCATTGCTGATTTTTAAAAATATTTTATTTATTTATTTTTAGAGAGGGGAAGGGATAGGGAAAGAGAGGTAGAGAAATATGAGTGTGTGGTTGCCTCTTATGCCCTGCCCACTGGGGACCAGGCCTGCAACCCAGGCATGTGCCCTGACTAGGAATTGAAACAGGGACCCTTTGGTTTGCAGTCCAGTGCTCAATCCACTGAGCTACACCAGCCAGGGCTGCATTACTGATTTTATAGAAGAGATAATACATAGAAAAAATTTTGTTTGTGTACACCTATGTGTGTGCACACGTGTGCATGTGTGTGTTGTTTAACACAATAAAACCATATTTCCTGTTTTTATCAAGGGCCAGTGTAGGTTGGCAGAATGGCTCAGTACCTGCAGCCAATCAGAGACACCCCACCAGCACCATTCACATGCATTTTTAATTTATGACCTTATGGTCTGACATTTGGCTTGTGCCTGCAGAGAGAGAAAGTGGAAAAGGCACCAATGCTTTTAACCACCTTGGCCTGGAAAAGACACTCATAATTTCCATTCACATTCCTTTGATGAGAACTAGCTATGTAGCTCCATCTTTCTACAAGGGGAGTGGAAAATGTAGATTAGATGTGCACTCAAGTAGGTAAGTTTGAGAGCAGGTAGCGCATCTGCTGCAGTCTCATTTGCAGAATAGGAATAATAGCTTCTGCCCCATGAAACTGTGGGAGAAAAATTAGCTAATTCATCAAAGTGCTTATTTAGCACAGTGCCTCTTGAGCTATAGTAAGTGGTTCAATAAACAGCAAATATTTTTGACATTCATAAACAAATTTCTGATTAGAACTAATATCTTCACAGCATTCTACTTAAAATCTTTAATAGCTGCTCATTTTCTTTGAATAAAACAATAAATTATTTACAAAGCCCTCTATCATCTGGCCCTGGCCTACATTCCCAATCTCTTCTCGCCATTCTTCCTTCATTTATGTGATCCAGTTTCTTTGTACTGGACCTTTTCTGGTTCTCAGACCAAGCATTTTCCCACCGTAGGGTCTGCAGTTCCCTCTGCCTGAAAAACTTGTACCCCAGCTCTTCATGTGGCTGGTTCATTCTCGTCCTCCAGGTCTCTCAGCTCAGTAATATTTCCTCCTCAGAGGTCAGTCCTGACCATCCTATCCAAAGTAGCTTCCTCCAGTTATTTCCTATCTTGTCGACCCCCGTTTTTGTTATCGCAATCTGCTTTGCTCCTCTTTGTTACTTGTTTACTGTTTGTCTTTTCCATCAGATTTGTTGCCTGCTTGAGGCCAGAAGGCTCAGTTTGTTTATTGCTTTTCCCTCTACATTCAACTTAAGCTAAGCAAAAACATTTAGTAGGTAGGAAATAGCTGATGACCAACTGAAGGAAGGAATGAAATAATTAAAGATAAATTGAAGGTCATCTCAGCTAGGTGTTTCACCTTAGCCTATCAACATATTCACATTTCCCTATTATTATTTCTGTACGACTCTTGGGTAGTGCTGTAGCTCTAGCCTTCGCTCTCAGTCAACCTTCCTGAAAGCTCAGTCTACATCCAATGCCATTTCCCTTTACTCCTGAATATATACTCTCTTCTTGCATCTAGTGGGTAGAAGTCAGGTATGCTGCTAAACATCCTACAATGCAAAGGACAGCTTCCCATATCTCCAGCAAATAATTATCTGGCCCAAAATGTCAGTAGTGCAAGGGCTGGGGAACCCCAGTGTGTAAAATGTCCTGCAGACAGACCATGCACAACATGGACATGTTTAAAATGAAATCATTACCTTTTTATTTTTACCTACTCTCTTGTTACCTCTTATTACTAATCTGATTAATGGCACTTAGTTTTATAAATCATTATCTTGGTAATCATTTTTTATTCCCTCATTAAGCTCCGCCCCTCTCCACCTCGCAGCCCCACCCCTCCTCCCATTGCCCTGTTCCAACCTTAAACCCCGCCCCAACTTTTCCAGCCCCGCCCCTCTTTCCCACGCCTCGCCCCACCTTCAAGCCCCGCCCCTCTCCACCTCAGCCCCGCCTCTCCACCCAGCTTCCCTTAGATCTGCTACCCGCTGCTTCCGTCGCCGTAGTTGTTACGTTTCCTCTGCGCCGGAAGAAGAACTCACGAACTCTTTTGGAGTCATGGCAGCGGTAGATATCCGAGGTAACGTGTGATGTTAGCTTTTGTTTCCTAATTGTCTGGGGTCTGATTTAGGGCTTTATAATTCGCGGGGGCAAGGTTCAGGTTCATTTGTGATATCTCCAAGCTTTTTTTCTATGGACCACCCAAGGCTTTAATCTGGCGAAAAGTTTCCTAGTGTTTCCCAGTTTCTCCGGGGTCTCGGAAGTGTCGAAACGCAGGAACTGGAAAAGGCTTTGGGCTTTGAGCCCGCAAACCCGCACTGTTGTTTTACACATATATTTCCACAGTAAATATTGACGCTGTTCTCTCCCGGTGAAGGAATGGCCTTTGAGCCGAGTGGAAAGTGGGGCAATGAACCGACGGAATTTGGTTCATCTTTTGGGACTTGTCGTGGCTGCTTTATTTCTGTCATCGTGCCTTTTTAGTCCCTGAGCATGAATCCCTAAAATTTTCTCCTGTAAGTTTTATTTTTGACTCTGCAAAACTTTCCATTGAACACCCAACAATAACTGAAGATAGGGGTCGTTTCTTATTCACAGCTGGACTGTAAAAGTACTCAAATATTTGTTGAGTCAGTGAATAAATATATGAAGACGCGTTACCTTCATTGCTGCTTCATCTCAGTCTTAGGTCATACATTCTTTTCTCAGCTCACGTACAGACATCTATTTCAGTGAGTTTGGTGAGGAAACGTCTAGTAATTGTGCTCTGGGATTCCAAAGAGTGAACAGAAGGGAGATTAAAAAATAGCTGAAGCCTGAGAACCTAGTACAGACCAGGTGCCTCCAGGTTGGGAGGAGGGGTTATGGGATTTCCCAGGAAAAATTCAGTGGTGTGAGAGAACCCTGGAGATTACCTTTATCTTTTACTGTGTGATGGTGTCTCCCACAAAACTTTCTACACTTCTGTGAAACTCGCAACGTAGATTTACTTCCATTTGAAATATTGTGGTACTTTCTCTTAAAGTAAGTGTGAATTTTCGTACCTAGGAGCAAGCTGAGATTCAATGCTCACCCCCAGCAGATTAAAGAAAAAGGGCTTTTCTCAAAAGTAGTTACCTCAAACTATAATATGCTCCTAATCATTTCTTTCTAGGATTGTTTTGTTTGTATATACTTGATTTTTATTGATTTGAGGGAGAGAGGAAGAGACAGAGACATCTATTTGTTGTTCCACTTGTGGATGCATGTCATTCATTGGTTGATTCTTGTACGTGCCCTGACTGGGCACGGAACAGCAACCTTGGTGCATCGGGACAACACTCATCAGCTGAGCTCCCTGGTCAGGGCTGTAATATATCCTTGATTTTTAAAGGGAAGTGTTTCAGATTCCTTTTTCTATATTAACCAGAGTGGAGTCTGGCAAATTTATTACTAATATATCCTCATTTTATAGTTGTTTAAAATATCCAGTGATCTTCAGCATTTCTGGGTCATGCTTTTACATGTTTGTCTTTCGTTATAAGTTAGTTTTCCAGTGCCTAATTTGATCACTTGCTGATTGTTGGGGAAGTGTTGGGGCTATGTTAGCATGCTCCCTTGCTACTACATTTTAAAAAAAAAGAGAGACCCTTAGTTCACACTATTTTCAAATATTTAGCTTTCATAATATTTTACTTTTTAGCTTTTTTAGTGTCATTGCAAAGGCTCTGAGGTGAGAGCATGAGGTGTGTTAGAGGAGCAGCAAGGGGGCAGCTATGGCCAGTGAGAAGCGAGGCTGGGGGGAAATGGGGTCAGAGAGATCATTGGTAACTTGCTCCAGATCTTCCTGTGCATTGCTGTTGCCTTCCACTGGGTCCCCATCACCTCATGCCCATATCTATTGACTGTCCATAGTTGTTGGTAGGTAAGATCTTTACTAAACATTTATTTGTGTCTGCAGATTACTCTCTGTGGAAGTGATCTGTAATATTATAACAGTTTATTGCCAGTAACTTGTTATGACATCATACAGATAGTTTCCACTATGCGATTGAGAAAGCAACCTAAAATTGTCCTCTACAAATGCTTTTATGTAATCATTCCTACAGAAATGTATAACAAAGTTGCTTCAGGCAAAACTACTTTAATAACTGAGCTATAGTGCTTAAAGCTGAGAATAATGATTATCCTTGGTTGCTTTTCATGAGACTATCTGTCTTTTTATTTGCTGGCTTGTTATATATTTGGTTATGGTGATCCATTTATGATGAACCATCTTAATGGTCTGTACTGATTATTTGGTCATTAACATATTTTATTTGTTTCTTTGGTTTTTAATTTATACAGTTACTTTTTCTCACTTGATTCATTTTGTTCACAACTGCTTGTTACCTTGGGTTAGGTCTGACTTCTTCAAACATACCGGAAGCAGTTACAATATAGAAGAGTTTGAGGTTTTAATTCTTTCTTCAACCAGTAGTATATAGGCATTCATGACTCACCCCTAGTGAGATTTACTAGTTAGTGGCATGAAACATTATTGCAGCCAGTAGCTAATAGAAGCTTATTAATGAAAGGTACTTAGTTATTGTGCCGTTTTTTTCCCTTTGTGCATTTTGAAAATTTTAGATTTAATTCTATTCTAAAATGTGAAATTGTATGGCTGTAATTGAAGGCATTCTGCTCCTCATTTGCCTTTTAACTTTTGCATCTTTATTATTTCATCTGTAATAATAGGTTTTTACTTTATTTCTCTGTCCTTCTTAATTGGGAGCTTTCAGACTGGTGGTTCTGGATGTGTTTTCTTTGGCATGAATGTTGTCTTGAAAACTTTTGAATTAGTTGCCAATATATAAAAACTTAGGATTTCCATTTTTTGAAAGACTTTTTTAGATTTCAAATCCTATTTCTTCTCCACCTAGTTAAATTATTCTCTAAACGTAATATGCTTTTTTATGGTTTCCCACCTTTTTATATGCATTCTGTCTACTTAGAATTACTTAGCCTCTCTTTTTTCTGGGACAAACCTTTGTTTAATTTTTAAGATACATACTAAAACCCTCACCCCATGAAAAGTCATTCCAGTTCCCTCAGGTAAAGTATTCTGTACCCTATACTGTGCTCTCATAGCACATTTATTCATGCTTTTATTATAGATAGCACTTACCATGTTGAGTTGTTGTTTTCTTGCATACTTATCTCTTCTGTTAGAATGTAAGAGTATGTATGTTAGGAAACGTGTTCCTTCCATTCATAGTGCCTATTTGTAGGGTTTGATTTTTTTCTCCTTTCTCATATTTTATTATTTTGTTTCTTTCCTATAGATAATCTGCTGGGAATTTCTTGGGTTGACAGTTCCTGGATCCCTGCTTTGAACAGTGGAAATGTCCTGGATTACTTTTCAGAAAGAAGTAATCCCTTTTATGACAGAACATGTAATAATGAAGTGGTCAAAATGCAGAGACTAACATTGGAACACTTAAAGTAAGTTATTATAAGAAGGTAGCATCTTTGCCAACTAGAGGTTCTGCAGTGAACATTTCTTTCAAACTGTGGATCATGATGTACAGAGTAGAAATTTTGGAAGAACTGGAGTTCTGTTTGAGTTTGTAAAAATTTTTGATGTGTGAAGAAATTAGTCACTTGTTCCTTAGAAAGTTTTCTGTATGTAACTTTATATATTACTATCCAATTAAAATATAGCCATGAGTTTAGATGTAGGTATGATCAGTGATTTTAGCAATGCAGCTATTCTCAACCTAGCATCTATAATACTGTCTTCTCTACATTTAATTTAATGTTTTTAGTAGGTTTGTAGTAGATTTATCTTTGTATGACAAATAAAGCAAATATAATTTTAGCCTTGGCTGGTGTGGCTCAGTGGATTGAGTGGGCCTGTGAACCAAAGGGTCACTGGTTTGATTCCCAGTCAGGGCACATGCTTGGGTTGCAGGCCAGGTCCCCAGTGCAGGGTGTGGGAGAGGCAACAATACATTGATGTTTCTCCCTCTCTCTTTCCCTTCCCCTCCTCTTAAAAATTAATAAAATCTTTAAAAAAAAAACAGAATTACATAAAGAAAATACAATTTTAGCCAAACAAATACAAGTCAAGTTTCTTCAGATTTAAATGTTAAGAATTTATTACTGTTATAAAACTTTCTTTTATTTTATTTAGTTATTTTTCAAGTACGGTTTTCTGTCTATTTCTCCCATCCCAGCCCACCCCACCCCGTGCTCCCCACCTCCCTCCCATTTCCACCCCCCTTAGTTATTGTCCCTGTGTCCTTTATACTTGTTCCTCTAAATGCCTTCCCTTTTTTCCCCTTAAATTCTCTCCCCTCTTTTCTCTGGTCGCTGTCCCCTTGTTCTCTATTTCAGTGTCTTTGTTTTTATTCTGCTTGCTCGTTTGTTTTGTTGTTTAGCTTCCTGCTAAAGGTGAGATCATATGGTATTTGTCTTTCAATGCCTGGCCTATTTCACTCAGCATAAGGCTTTCCAGTTCCATCCATGTTGTTGCAAAGGGTAGTAGCTCCTTCTTTCTTTCTGCTGCATAGAATTCCATTGTGTATATGTACCACAATTTTTTGATCCATTCATTTACTGACGGGCACCTAGGTTGCTTCCAACTCTTGGCTATTGTGAATTGTGCTGCTATGAACATTGTGGTGCATAGGTTCTTTGAAATTGATGTTTTAGGATTCTTAGGGTATAATCCTAGCAGTGGAATTGTTGGGTCGAAAGGCAGGTTGATTTTTATTTTTCTGAGAAAATTCCATACTGTTTTCCATAATGGTTGTACTAGCCTGCAATCCCACCAACACTGAACTAAGGACCCCTTTTCCCCACAAACTCTCCAACATTTGTCGTTTGTTGCTTTTTTTTATGATAGCCATCCTGACCGGTATAAAGTGATATCTCATTGTGGTTTTAATTTGCATCTCTCTGATAACTAGCGATATTGAGCATCTTTTCATGTGTCTCTGGATCTTCTGTATGTCCTCCTTGGAGAAGTGTCTGTTCAAGTCCTTTTCCCATTTTTTAATTGGGTTGCTTGTCTTCTTAGAGTGGAGTCATGTAAGTTCTTTGTATATTTTGGAGATTAAACCTTTGTCTGGGGTATCATTGGCAAATATGTTTTCCCATATAGTTGGTTGTCTTTTTAATTTAATACTGTTTTCTTTAGCCATGCAGAAGCTTTTTATTTTGATGAGATCCCATTTGTTTATTCTTTCCTTTATATTCCTTGCTCTAGGGGACATATCAGTAAAAATGTTGCTGCGTGAAATATCTGAGATTTTCCTGCCAATGTTCTCCTCTAGGACTTTAATGGTTTCAGGGCTTATATTTAAGTCTTTTATCCACCTTGAATTTATTTTGGTGTATGGCGTAAGTCGGTGCTCAAGTTTCATTTTTTTTGCACGTAGCTGTCCAGTTCTCCCAATACCATTTGTTGAAGAGGCTATCTTTACTCCATTTTATGTTACTGCCCCCTTTGTCGAAGATTAATTGACTGTAGAGAGTTGGGTTGATTTCTGAGCTCTCTGTTCTGTTCCATTGGTCTATGTGCCTGTTTTTATGCCAGTACCAGGCTGTTTTGATTACAGTTGTAATACAGTTTGATATCAGGTATTGTGATCCCTGCTACTTTGTTCTTCTTTCTTAAAATTGCAGCTGCTATTCAGGGTCGTTGTTATAAAACTTCCTGAAACCACTGTGTAGTAAAGTTTTTTTACCTGTCAGTTAAACATCAGGGGGAATTCATAAAATTAAATTTCTGTGGTATTTAAAATTTTTTTTAAATCCCTACCCAAGGATATGTTTATTGATTTGAGAGAGAGAGAAACATCTATGTGATAGAGAAACATTTATCAGTTGCCTCCCTATACCTGCCCCAACCAGGGATCAAACCCACAATCTAGGTATGTTTCCTCACTGGGCATGAACCCACAGCCTTTTTGGTGTGTGGGACGATGCTCCAACCAGCTGAGCCACCTGGCCAGGGCAAACTTCTATGGTATTTTAAATAGCTTTTGTTACAAGACAAATGTTTATAACTATTAAGAGAACTTATTGTTACTTTTAAACATAATCTGTCAGATCAAACATGCAATGGGGCAAGGATAAGGTTTTTGATGTTTGCTGGTGGGGTAAAATGTATAATTGACATACATAGTCAAGACATGAATGGTCTTCATGTATACTTTTATATTTTACATATATTTATAGATCTAAGGTCAGAAAGCATCATGGTATTTGGTTGCCTTTTTTGAAACATGCTCTTCAGTGTACTTTAATGATGAAAATTTAAGTTCATTATGAATTTTTGTAAAGAGATTTTGCTGTTAAGAACCAAATCTTATGTTATCTGTATTTTACTACCTCAGAAAATAGCCAGTTTATTAAACAGCTAGTTTTTAATATCAAACATAGGCAGTTTTAATTCTACTTACAGTGTTGCTATACTTTTATATACTAATTTGATGTTCTACAGAATTGTTTGTAGAACATTCATAGATCTCCGGATGTCTGTGTTCTGTTTTCATTCAGTCAGATGGTTGGAGTAGAATACATCCTTTTACATGCTCAGGAGCCCATTCTTTTTATTATTCGGAAGCAACAGCGGCAGTCCCCTACCCAAGGTAAAATGTGTAAAGTTCAGGCATTATTTTCTTCGTAAAATACCATGACTTATTTACTTTCTGAGCCATGTTTTTTTTAAATTGGGTTGTCTTTTGGGGGTCCCCAAGAGAACATACATGTTCAGTGCTTTACTTGGGGGACTCAGCAGACTCAGCATATAGTCAGTCACATGTACGATTTGTTACGGCAACACAGAAAGGATACACTGCCAGATCAGTAAGGGAAAAACCTTTATCAAGCGGGATGGGCAGGAATCAACGTGTAAGCTTCCTGTACTTCCCCTCCTGTGAGGGGAACATACCTCGTACACCTGCCAGCAGTGAAGTGCAGCTCCACATGTGTGTCTGCTCCGGGAGGTCCACTTCCCACTCTGAAGTCCAGGGTTTGTATTGAGGGCTAGTCATGCAGACATCCTCTGCCTGCTGAAATTCCAGACTCTTAGAAGGAAATCAGGTTTCCGCTATAATCATATTGTTTGTACAAATTGTCTAGGAAGGCTGGTACACCTGGCATAGCTTTACCACTTAGGAAATGTTTCAAAAGCACAAGTTCCACTGGTTACATGTTTGCACACTGCGGGTTTTCCAGCGTGCCCAGGGGCAGCTCTGCAAGCACAACAGAGCAACTCTGTTTGGAAGCCACCTTTTCCTGTGAGTGCAGTTATTGGGATTCCAGCTGACCCTCGAGTATCCCAAGTAACCTTTCTTTTCATAGTCATGGAATCTTAATTCTGATACAAAATACATGGTAGGTGCAATTGTACCAAATTCATGGAAGGTCAGTTGAAAATTCTCATTGACAAATTCAACCAAAAGTCCTACCAGGGTTATACTTCCAAAAACAGACTGGCCCTTAGAAATCAAAGTGAAGAGTATAGAATTCAGGTTTGATTTTTTTAACGTTTTTTTTTTAAATGTATACCCAAGGATATGTTTATTGATTTGAGAGAGAGAAACTTCAGGTGATTGTCTCCTGTTGCTGCTCTGACCAGGAATCGAACCCATGACCTTTTGGTATACAGGACAACACTTCAACCAACTGAGCCACCAGCCAGGGCCAAATTTGATTTTAAATCAAAAAGTCACCTATGACCATCTTCATCTCTTAATTAGATACCCTCATCAAGACATTTAGTAACAACTCTGATATTGATTCCAGAGAATGACTTGTTAAGGAAGTGGTGGTTCCAGAGTCAGGAATTGAAATTTACTGTAAAAATCTAGAGTTTTTGCTCAGAGAAAAAGAGGACCGTAGAACACAGGCAAGACCAGAGACAGGATTTCTATGATGAGAGGGTTCAAGGTGTAGAAGCTACACAAGGTGGCACCAGCCTCAGTAGCAGCTGTTTTACTCCTTAGGACCCAGGACTGGGGCACAGAGGCAAGTTCAGAGTGTGACCGACTGACAGCAGCATTGGATCCCCTGGAAACTCGTTAGAGATGTGCTGTGCCTACTGAGTAAGAATCCGATTTTGACAAGATATGAAGTGACTCTAGGACACAGTTGGCAGACTTTCTCAGAAGGTCCACAGAGTAGATATCTTAGACTTTGTGGGCGTCACGGTCTCTGTGACAGTTGCTCAACTGCTGCCACAGCAGCTGTCGGTAGTAACGAATGGGTGCGGCTGTTTTTGACTCTAATTTTATTTACAGAAATGGAAATTGCCAGGCCCTGCCTTAAGTTTTAATATGGGGAAATGTCAAATTTTAGTTGTGTTTTTCATGGAAATCTAGTGATTGGCATATAAAGCTCTATTCATAAACATTTTTTTTCTCCCACTGCTTTAGTTATCCCACTGGCTGATTACTATATCATTGCTGGAGTGATCTATCAGGCACCAGACTTAGGATCAGTTATAAACTCTAGAGTGGTAAGTGTCTTCCCATTTAAACACTGAAGAAAACTTTTACTCGAGCTGCCTTGCTTTCAAGAACCAAGAGGTGGTCCTCTCCCTTGTGTAAGTTGGTATGAAGTGTTGAGTTTTAGAATGTTTTGAGCATTGTTACTGTGGGCCAACTCTGTATTAAAAGTATATACCATAACCCAGCTATGTAGAGATTCAGGTTCCAAAAACTGGAAAATCGCTGTCTTTACAAATGTAATCATTTGTGTTTACTTTGGAAATTTTGGTTAATCTAATGAGAAATTCAGTAACTTTTTTTTTTTTACAAGCTTACTGCGGTGCATGGCATTCAGTCAGCTTTTGATGAAGCTATGTCATACTGTCGATATCACCCTTCCAAAGGCTACTGGTGGCACTTCAAAGATCATGAGGAGCAAGGTAGGTAAGGCACCTGGACCCTCCGAAAACATTTTTTGGTACTCTGAAGGAATGAAGCGTTTTTTGCTACTCTGAAAGGATGAAGCTGGTTTTTTTTGTTAGGAAAATGGCTGTTCATGATTTCTAGGTCTGTTTTACTTCTCCTCAGGAAGATTCTTCATAGGATGATGACATTGTCACAGCTATAATTTATATAAATAGATGTGGCGATAATAGCTTTCTCATAGGATATAAATTTTAATGTTAGGTAAGTGGTATTCTTTGGTAAGTGGGTTCAAGGTTTTTCAATATTTGGAAAATGCAGAGAAAATCAGTGATGGGAGTGAGTAATGATGATGTTTCTTGCTTATGTAACTGTTGAGTCATCCAGAAATTTGGAACCTGAATTCCCCTCTAGTCTTTTTTTAATCCTCACTCGAGGACATATTTCCACTGATTTTTATTTTTACTTTTTTAAAGATTTTATTTATTTATTTTCAGAGAGAGGGAAAGGGAGGGTGAAAGAGAGGAGAGAAATATTGATATGTGAGAGATACATTGATTGGTTGCCTCTCGCACGCCCCTCAACAGGGAACCTAGCCTGCAACCCTAGCATGTACCCTGACTGGGAATCAAACCAGTGACCCTTCGGTTTGAAGGCCGGCACTCAGTCCACTGAGCCACACCAGTCAAGGCTCCGTTGATTTCTGGAGAAACATCGATTGGTTGCCTCCTGTACCTGCCCTAACCGGGGATTGAACCCTCATCTTAGGCATGTGTTCTGACTGGGAGTCAGATTGGCAACTTTTTGGTGCATGATGCTCCAACCAACTGAGCCACGTGGGCGGGGCTGAATCTCCCACCACCACCCCCCATTTTGAAAGTAGGGGAGATACTCTTAGAGACTTAGCCCCAGGTGGTCAGTCTGTTTTTTGGTTTTGCCATTTTACTATCTGTTGTATGCCAGGACCCCTAGTTTCCATAGCTGCTAATCTGCTATTTATTCTATACCTTATTTTACCAGTAAGTATTTTTAGAAATGCATGTATAGCAGTATACCTATAGTCTGTATTTTTTTTCTCTGAGAAACAGCATTTCAGAATAAGTTACTAATGGAAAAGTAGCTTTTAAATAGAATTCAGACTTATATGAATGGTTGGTCTCTCAGTTACAGTTATATTTATTCTCGGTAGTTACAAGCTGAACATTATGTAGGAAAGTTTGCATCAGTTAAATAAACTTCTCCTAAGAGCTCTTTGCTCCTAGCCTAATGAAATGTTTGGAGTAAAACTTACCTGGAGCCCTTCATTTAGAGGTAGTTTCCCAGTACATCCTACTTCCAGGGAAATTCTACATACCATTAATTTCAGAATATTTTTTTGTAATTCTTTTTTTTTTTTTTCCTTTTCTTGAGGATCTTCTGTTGTTTGGTTTGTCCAATTTTTTTTTTTTTTTTAGTGAATTACAGTCTTCATAATTGAGGTTGGTAACTTGGGGAATTTGTGGAAGTTGCATTTTCCATTTGTACCTGTAAGGTTTCATGGGTAAAGACCATTTAATACACTTAAAATTATACACAAGATAATTTCAGACAATAATTTGGATTGTGATTTTGGTAATTATGGAAAATGTTACCCTTAAAATTTTTTTGTTTATCCATGTTTATATACTAAAAGTATCTTTTTAAAAATGTATTTTCTGTTATAGTTTACATTCAGAATTATTTTGTATTAGTTTTAGATGTACAGCATAGTGGTTAGACATATACTTTACAAAGTTAAAACTAAAGTATCTTTAAAAGACATCAGCATTTTATTTTTATTTTTTAAAATATTTTATTTATTTATTTTTAGAAAGGGGACGGGAAGGAGAAAGAGCGGGAGAGAAACATTAATGTGTGGTTGCCTCTCATGCACTGGGGACCTGGCCTGCAACCCAGGCATGTGCCCTGACTGGGAATCAAACCAGTGACCCTTTGCTTCACAGACCCATGCTCAATCCACTGAGCTACACCAGCTAGGACAAGACATCAGCTTTTTAAATGTTAGAATGTTAACTTAATGTAAGAGTGAGAGTTAGAACACTTCTTTGTATACTCTCTGTTTAACCTATTGTGGTATTATTTTTGAACTAGCAGTCATTAAAAATAATGAAGTTTGAGTATATTTATGCTGGATAAAGATTTATAAATATAAATATACTTATATAAATATAAAATATAAAAGGTCAAACTAGGCAGTGTTTTGATTTGGACTTCATATTTTAATAGATAAAGTCAAACCTAAAACCAAAAGGAAAGAAGAACCAAGCTCTATTTTCCAGAGGCAACGTGTGGATGCCTTACTCCTAGACCTGAGACAAAAGTTTCCACCCAAATTTGTGCAGGTAATAAGGACATATGTGATTATTTTGATTTGACATTGGTTTTTGGTATGTGTATTTTTATTTACTTTAAATTTTTATTGATTTTTTTAGAGGGAGAGAAATATCAGTTTGTAGTTTCACTTATTTATGCATTTATTGGTTGATTCTCATACGTGCTCTGACCAACCAGAGCGCATATGAGAATCCACAACCTTGGTTTATTGGGACGACACTAACCAACAGAACCACCCGGCCAGGGCCTGGTATGTTTATTCTCAAGTGAGAACTGTTGTAGATGCAACCTAAAAATATTAATTTTCCTCATTAGCTAAAAAATGATCTTTGAATCAAAGGAGAGATTTTGAAGGACTTAATGGAGAAAGTGGGTAAAGGGGATGGAATTAATATGCCCTCCTCCCAGGGGAATTTCTGATGGTCATTAATTTCACTGTTCCGTGCTATTGAGTTTAATTCCTCGTTGAATCTTAACAACCTATTAGGACTACATATAGACAATATTCTCATTCAAAAGATTGCCAGAAGTGTCATAAATGGTAGTAAAAATAAAATCTGAAACTCGTGCTGTTTTCACTCTTTGTGCTCACTTCCAGCCTGATGTAGTGGATATTTTAAGTCCTTAAATGATAGAACAGTTAAAACTTTTGTAACCAACCCCCCCCCCCAAAAAAAAAAGGAACATTTGAGGCATAAGGTTTGGCATGATAAATGGAGGAGGCAGGAGTAAAAGTTACATCACCTTGGTGTTTAAGTTACAGGAATTCCATGTTATTTTCATGGAATTTCAACAGCAGTAGCAAATCCACCGGCCATTCTACTAAATGAGCTGTTGAAGTGAGGTAGGTACGAGATGGAATATGTGAATATGTCGTTCTCATGGTTAATCTGTTTTTATGGTGCCTTTACAGGGCTGTGTATACACAAGGTCATATATACTGTTTTTCTTGTGGGGGACCTAATTAAGAGATTTTTTAGGGTAATTTTAGATTAAATGAAATTCTTCACACCATGTGTGGGAGATGCCCTAGTCCTCAGAGCTCTCCCAGCTGCCACAGATGAGAATAAATTGTCCTGGACACAGTCTTGTTGTTTCAGTGGGAAAGGGGGTGGCAATTCCCTTTAGTGGAGAACACCCCGAGTCCTTCTCCCAAATAGTTTTTATTGGGAATGGTATGTGTAGGTATATACAACATACATGTATAGCTCATCAGTCAATGTCAAAAAGGCTGTGGTCATACAGAAACAGATACTGTCTGTAGGTAACAATTGAAGGAACACAGAGATCTGTCATAGGTCAGGGTCTGTTAGTCATGCTGACGCCAGAGGGTCTTTAAGACGTGTTTCATGAGATAAGGCATTTACTCCCTATGCCTTGAACTTAAACACAGGGTCTGTATTGGCAGGGCTATGCTGGGCAGAGCAAACTTCAAAGGATAAAATGTACATTTCAGACCTGATTCCCATGGGAACCTTTGGTGTTAGAGTCGGGTCATGTCTGCCACCTGCGTTACCAAGTTTTCCAGGGAGATTTACTAGCCTCTTTTTGAGCCTGCTTTTGTGGGGCTGCAATCTCTGAAACCACGCAGAGTGGTCCCCAACACCATGAGATGACTTTAGAATAGCCTCCCCTGCTCCTTTTCCTGACTACACCCTAGGAGAGACATGTGCTGTTGGAATGGTTATGTGGCAGGGAGGGGAATAGGACACAGCTGGATCAGGACAGGAAAGCCAGTTTAGAGGAATCTCATGATGACACTTGAAGATGAAGCAGTGTCTGATGGGTAAATGAGTTATTGCTGTGTGTAGGGTGATGAGTTACCACTGCAGAGCGTAAGTGGTTAGGTGTGGTTGACCATTCATTCGGTGAGTACCCAGTATATACCGGGGAGGCCAGGAGAAGAACACCTGACCTGCATAGTACAGTAGCTGTCAGACACACGTGACTAATGAGCACTTGAAACGCAGCCAGTCCACAACTCATTTTACATGTGAGTTGTGACGTGTGTAAAATACAGACCGGGATCAAAGGCTTGATACAGAAAAAAAGGTAAAATACTCTACTGAAATTTAAAATATTGATTATATGTTGAAATAATATTTCAGATATATTTGGTTTAAAATATAAAATTCACCTGTTTGTGAAAATATGACTACTGGAAAGTTTTAAATTATATATATATATATATATATATATATATATATATAAAACTTGTAATTGTGGCTCATATTTTTTTGGATAATGTTGATCTAGAAAATGGGAATAGAGTATGTAAAACCAGAAATATGAGTGTTAATGAACAAATTAAATACCCAGAAACCAGAAAGTCCTTAGTTTTTTTTCTCCCTAGTTCCTAGTTCCTTGAGGTGTAAGGTTACATTATTTGAGAATTTTTCATTTTTAGTATTGGCACTTATCATTATAAACTTCTCTCCTAGTATTGCTTTTGCTGCATTCCATAAATTTTGGTGTGTTGTGTTTTCATTTTCATTTCTCTTCAGATAATTTCTTATTCCCTTATGATTTCTTTTTTGGCCCATTGATTGTTCAGGAGTGTGTTGTTTAATTTCCACATATGAGTTAGTAGCAGGAAGGACATAGTAAAGATTAAAAATAAATGAAATAGAGACTAGAAAAACAATAGAAAAAATCAGTAAAACTGAGAATTGGTGTTTTTTTTTATTCTTTTTAAGAGTTGGTATTTTTTAAAAGGAAACAAAATTAACAGACTTTCAGCTAGACAAAAAAGGAGAAGACTCAAATTGGTAAAATTAGGAATGAAAGAGGAAACATTACAACTAGTGTCACAGAAACAAAAAGATCATAAAAGATTAGACTACTGTAAGTAATTATATGCCAACAAATTGAACAACCTAGAATTCCTAGAAACGTGCAACGTACCAAGACTGAGTCATGAGGAAGTGGAAACTCAGAACAGACCAAAATGATTATCAGTAACCACAAACCTCAACAAACAAAAATCTAGCACCAGATGGCTTCACAAGTGAATTCTACCAAATGCTTAAAGAGAATACCAATTATTCCAGACTCTTCAGTAAAAAAACTGAAGAGGTAGGAACACTTCCAAATTCATTTTATGAGGCCAGCATTATTCTAATACCAGAGACAAAGATACGACAGGAAAACTACAGTCCAATGTCCCTGATGAACATAGATGTAAATATCCTTACTGAAATAGTAGCAAACTAAATCCAGCAACACACTAAAAGGATCATACACATGATCAAGTGGAATGTATCCCTGAGATGCAAGGATGGTTCAACACACTAAAATAAGTCAGTATGATACACCACATTATCAGAATGAAGGATAAAAATTGAACGATGATCACAATAAGTGCAGAAAGGGCATTTGAAAATCTTTTATTGTAAAAATGCTCAACAAAATGGGCGTTAAAGGAATGTACCTGTACATAAAAAAGGCTATATGTGAGAGACCCACAGCTAGTATATTCAGTGGTGAAAAATAAGAGTTTTTCTATCAGATCAGGAATGAGACAAGGATACTTACTCTTCATACTTTTTTCCAACATTATACTGGAAGTCCTAGCCAGAGAAATTAGGCAAGAAAAAGAAATAAAAGGTATCCCATTGGGAAAGAAGTAAAATTGTCTCTTATTGCAGATGACATGATCTTAAACATAGCAAACCCTGAATACTCCACTAAAAATTTGTTAGAACTAATCAATGAATCCAGTAAAGTTGCTGGATACAAAATAGGTTGCATTTCTATATACTAATAGTTCAGTGTCTGAAAATGATACTAAGAAAACAATCCCATTTATAACAACATTTTAAAAAACCCTTAGGGATGAACTCTTTGTTTCCAGTTTTATTGAGATAACAATTGCTGTGCCATCTAGCGCTGTGTAAGTTTAGGGCGCACAGTGTACTGATTTGATGCACTTATGTGTGCAGAATGATTACTACCACAGCGTTAGTGGACATCATCATGTTGCATAAATACTGTTTCTTTTTTTGTGGTGAAATCATTTAAGGGTTACTCTCAGCAACTTTCAAGTATGTAAGACTATTATTAACTATAATCACCATGTTACACATTAGATCTCCAAACTTAATTCATTTTGTAACTGCGAATTTGTACTCTTTGACCAACATCTCCCCATGTCCCTCGCCCCCACCACCACCTCAGCCACTGATGCCCACCACTTTACTCTCTGTTCATGTGATTGGCCTCTTTAGATTACACGTGTAAGTGACATTTTATAGTATTTGTCTTCTGCCATCTGACTTAATTTCACTTAGCTTAATACCTGTCAGGTTAGTCCTTTTTTTCCCCAAAGGGAAGATTTTCTTTTAATGGCTGAAAAATACTTCATCTCCTTTATCCTTAATTTGTTGATGGACAAGTAGATTGTTTCTTCATCTTGGCTGCTGTGAATAATGCTGCAATAAACATGGCAATGCACACATCTCACTGAGATCCTGTTTTCATTTCCTTTCAGTATATATATCCAGAGGAGGGGTTGCTGGCTCATTGATAGTTCTATTTTAAATTATTTTAGGGACATTCACACTGTTTTCTATAGTGGTTGTACCAGTTTACATTCTTACCAGCAGTGCACAAGGGTTCTCTTTTCTCTGCATCCTCACCAGCACTTACATACCAACACTTACACCTTGTCTTTTTTATGATAGCTATACTAACAGGTGTGACGTGATTATCTCAAATATTTTCTCAAGTTTGGTAGGTTGCCTTTAATTTGTTGATGGTTTCCTTTGCTGTGTAGAAGCTTTTTAGTTTGATGTAGTCCCATTACTTTATTTTTGCCTTTGAAGCATTTCCTTTTGGTGTCAAATTCAAGAAATCATCCCTAAGACTGATGTTAAGGAACTTATTACCACCTATGTTTTCTAGGGAAGTTTTGGATTCAGATCTTTTGTCAAGAATTTAATCCATTTAGAGTTGATTTTTGTGTATTGTGTTAAATAGTGGTTCGCTTTCACTGTTTTGCATGTGGCTC